GCCTTACAGCTCAGCTCCTTCTTCACCACGACGGACCGGTACATCGACTGCATTACTGCAGAAGCTGCACCGATCCGCCTGTCAATCTCCCGTTCCATCCTTCCCTCACTCGTGAACAAGACCCCGAGATACTTAAATTCCTCCACTTGAGGCAGGAACTCTACACCAACCCGAAGGGAACAAGCCACCCTTTTACAACTGAGAACCATGGCCTTGGACTTGGAGGTGCTGATTCTCATCCCAGTCGCTTCACACTCGGCTGCAAACCGCCCCAGTGCACGCTGGAGGTCCTGGCTTGATTGAGCCAACAGGACAACATCATCTACAAAAAGCAGATATGAGATCCTGTGGTCCCCAAACCGGATTACCTCCAGCCCCTGGCTGCACCTAAAAATTCTGTCCATAAACATAATGAACAGAACCGGTGACAAAGGGCAGCCCTGTCAGAGTCCAACGTGTACCGGGAAAAAGTCTGACTTACTGCTGCAGATTTCGCCAGCACATGTGGAGCATCTGTCTCCTCCTGGAAGAGAGCACAGAAGAGTGGGTTATAGATGGGTGCCAGAGGTGGGGTGATTAAAAAAATGGGTGGTCTGAGAGAGGTGGGGGAGTTTATGAAGGAAAAAGAGACAGAAACCATTATGATGAATTTAAGTGAAAGAGCAGAAAGGTCATGAACACAAGGCTCCGTGCCATAGAGGGGAGAGATTTAAGGTAATGCAGCAGGCGAAAGAGGTAACAAGATACCTGAGGTTGTCTAGCCTTCTCGCTTTAAAGTGCTGTAGGAGGCTCGTAATGGGTGTCAAGCAGCCAGACTATGGCCAATCAAAGAGCCATCAGCCATGACTGAGCCCTCCTATCTCTCAACTGTGGAGCTTGACCTTTGGAGTACTCATCTTGCCTGTGGTCATGTAGTGTGGCTACCGCAATCTGCGCCTAGAAATTCTGTCCATAAAAATGATAAACAGAACCGGTGACAAAGGGCAGCCCTGCCAGAGTCCAACATGCACAGGAAACAAGTCTGACTTACTGCCGGCAATGCGAACCAAGCTCCTGCTCAGGTCGTACAGGGACCGGACGGCCCTTAGCAAAGGGCCCCAGACCCCATACTCCGGGGGCCCATACTATCGGTCGAATTCTCCTCTCCAGTACCCTGGCATAGACTTTCCTGGGGAGGCTGAGGAGTGTGATCCCCCTATAGTTGGAACACACCCTCCGGTCCCCCTTCTTAAAAAGAGGGACCACCACCCTGGTCTGCCAGTCCAGAGGCACTGTCCCCGACC